ACATAGCTTGGTCCTGTTGTCTCAAAAGATCAAATGTTATGCACTTGATTCCTGTGTCTAGCTCCCTCCATCCACATGCATCTTCACACTTGGGTCACTGAAATGGTTTCTGATGGAACGTGGAGAGTACCTGTCTCTTATACACATCTAGATGTGTATAAGAGACAGGGCTTAGCTTCAACCCATTGTCTGGCCCCATTACTGCGAGCTGGCTTAGCTTCAACCCATTATCTGGCAACGATAAGTGGTTACATTTTCTTCTGTAGAAGTAACGTTTATAGCATTCATATACATAAAGTTATATGTGTGTTTACGTTAAATTACGTTACGTTACGATACGTTAAATTGAGATTAGTTCACTTTAGGTACGTTATTTCAAGATACGTGCCCGGGTATTGCTACTGACCGGACTTTGTGACGAGCCCGAAGGCGGGCGGGACTCTGGGTCTGAGGAGACCCAGCAGGGACAGGCAGGTGGCGTCCAGCGCCGGGTCCAGACCCCAGGAGTGCAGCACCGACAGCACCAGCTGTCCGATCTGCAGGGTCTGGCACGGCACCTCGATGTTGCGTGCGCCGTCTGACAGGTCGCGTAATATTACATGAATATATTTACTATTATCTTCATAATGATAACCGGAGAGAACATCTAGAATTCTAAGAATACTGATGGCCTGAATGAACATTAACAATTCCCAGCCTAATGTTGTCCTGAGTGAACACAAATCTCATGCCTGAGTGAGCTGTAGTATGCTCTATCTATAATACGTTACATTCCATAGCAAATACAAGTCTAAATTAGAGGTTACAGTAATAACCGTCAAATGTCCATGTTACAAGTCTATTATTAAATTATTTGTCAAATCCCATGCGCATCTACATCAACATCAAATTACAATTTAACTACGTAAACAACTCGTACACTATTCTGATCAATAGCATAAGCTTTGAATAGTTGCGTTTTACGTTAAGTGCAAATTTCACAGCATCTGTTTTGTGTCTATTAATGTATTTATAGAATTTGTATCAAAAAGCATTTTTGAATAACCTCAATTATTGTAGGTTAAAGTACAAATACTTCAGACAAATACGGTTGAAGCATTGCAACTGTCGTAGCATAAAAAAAAGCTCAGACGTAACAGTTGCCCAGAATTAATAAATCGAAAAGACTCCATAACTAAAGATATCAATTACTTTACAAACTGAAACAATGAAATAGAGATACTGAATCTTCTTTCCCGCAAATGAAAGGAACGGGTTCAGAATGTTCTTCACACGACACCGCGTTTTTATTCCTGCTGCAAGATAGGTGGTAAGCAGGGCGGTATCCAGTTTACGACTCGTAAGCAGGGCGGTATCCAGTTTACGACTCGTAAGCAGGGCGGTATCCAGTTTACGACTCGTAAGCAGGACGGTATCCAGTTAATACGACTCGTAAATAAGACGGTATCCAGTTTACGACTCGTTAGCAGTGCAGTATTTATTATTATTTACGACTCGTAAGCAGGGCGGTATCCAGTTTACGGATGCAGGGAACAGAGTTGCGGGGTTATTATATAGGAAGCAAATAACACACACAAGCAGCAAAGGGAGTCATGGTTTGGGGAATTGGACGGTGCACGGGAGAATAAGTCGAAGAGATTTCACGTGTTCAAGGCACACGACGACTATACATTCAGTTTATTACTGGGGCCTTAAATGTAATTTTATAAGGCAGGGGAGATTAGCAATAACGCTCGATCAATAAGGTGATATGTGCTCCTCCGTGTGTGAAAAATCTCTGCGTTGAAGTCTTACCACCATGGGAAGGTTACTCCAATTATTTGCGGGACAATGTAGGGGTAAGTGTGGTGAGGGAGAAGATCGCTGATCTTTAAGAGAATCTGCATCGCCAAGTAGGAACAAAACTCTACAGAAATTCGCTTAAGATATACCAACACACACAAGAAACTGGTAAAAATTCATACCAATGTGCAGAAAGTGGCTGCGCTTTAGAAGATCGCAATTACCATAGAACGCGTCAACGAAATTCAGGGATAAAAAGAAAGCGAATCTATGTAACTTATAGAACTTGGTGTATATATAAATGTACTTATGCCGCAGAATTAATGATAACAGCCACAACTTTCAACATTATAAGTATAATATTAACCAAATAATCGGCCCGGACCGTTGTTAAGATTGCACAACTCGTTGCTTTAGGTGTTGAACAAAATATGAAATTTACGTAACGCGTAACACCAGTGCACCGTTGAATTGCATCAAGCAACGGCAACGAAGAAATTCTACAAACTTCACAAATTTCTGCAAAATTTTACATTTTCTAATCAAGCGACAGCTGGATGCTGAACTAATTCATCTTCACATATAGAACCAAACCTACAATTCTGTGAGGAAAAAGCATGCATGTCTTAAAGTAGTCAATAAAAATTTTCCTAAGCCCATACTCTACTGAAGGTGACATAAGTTACATGGCATCTGATACGAAAAGCATTAACAAAACCACGGTCGCCTCTATACACGGTCGAGGAGCGGACACGCATCTCATCTACGCAACGATACGCAGCAGCTACGAATGTTTCCCGGCGAAGTTATTGAAGCATTTCCAGGCAAGTTTCCTGAACTTGTTTGTGACTGCATGAGTGAGGCACGGCGAAGATTATTGCCTGCAGTTACAAATTAGAGGAAGCAGACCAAACGAATTGTCTCTGCCATCTAAAACTCTGCACTATACGCATCACGAATAGACTAATGATAGCAATCGATGCATTGCAAAATCACAAATCACTAATAAAGCACTCTCAAAGGTATAGATAAACTTAGTATTTATAATATGGAACTCTATAGAAATTTTGTAAAATAAGTTACGAAATGAGAAATAAATGAACTAAATAAGAGAGGCGTTGATGAAGCATTGTAGCAGGCAGACTGACGACACTCATGGAACTGAGTGAGGCAATGTCTCACCGTGTGTGTGCAGCGAGTGTGGACGCGAGGCTTCGTGTCTTGTCTGCAGGAAGACTCCCGTACACGCCACATGATACCGCTGCTGGCGCCTGTACATTGTGCTGCTGTGTACACGCTAACATCTCTACTATACGCCACATGTCTACTATACGCCAAATGTCTACTACACGCCACAGGTCTATACTATACGCCAAATGTCTACTATACGTCTATGTCAACTATACGCCAAATGTCTACCATACGCCACAGGTCAACTTACGCCAAATGTCCAGTATACGCCTCATGTCTACTATACGCTACATGTCGCCCGGCCTACAAATGTCGTAACAATGGAACCCGTTATACCCTCACACTAACTAAAAAGTGCCAGAACCATCGCTAACCACTGACTTTGTTTTCCTGCGACCTTTTGCATTCACCATTTGATTAAAACATCGATAAATTGTTATTGTAGGGAGTGACGACAGAAGTGGTGTTATCGGGAAAATGATAACTCAGTAATAGCTTAATTGAATTGGTCTTGCATGATTCTTGAAATAAAATCGTAACAAGAAATCATTAACTTCAGCAATCAAAATTTACACTACGATGTTTGAATAAACAATAAGTAATTATATCATATATGCCTACTTCTAGACTGCACGCAAAATGAACGGACATGCAAGCGTTGAATTTCACTCTATATTCTGTGAATGAAACACATCTAATTAACTCTTCTAGTCAAAAAAACTCGGGGTGAACTTAGATTATATTAACCAAGCTACAATCGGTATAATTAGCATGGATAATGGAATATGCGTGAGAAAATTCGATAAACACTTCCAACTCCTGCCGAATTCTGATAGTGGCCTGTGTTCATAATTCACTTCGACGAGCGAGATCACTTTGCAACCTGTCCAATCGGAAGATGCATGCTTGCGTGCATAAAATTCAGCCTCTTCAATGCACACAGGAGCTCAGAAAATAATACAGTCAATACCGAGTTTATCGTGGGGCATGGCACACGCGAAACTATAAAGGCAAGATCGTAGAAAATTAAGTTCGAGAAATTCGACAGAGATCGGAAACACAAAGAAAAAATGAAACAATGCACACAAAATGCTGCAAAAAAGTCATACTTCAAAAATCTCTCGTGGTAAACAATGAGGAATTGCCTTATCTCTGGAACCAAAATGCCAACTAATGAAAGTCGTTAAAAAATTCAACTGACATTCACAAAACTGCATGCATTTCACCACAATACTTGATGTTGACAGAATTTGTGAGCCGTTTCATCATTCAATTGTTCCGATATTAAATATAACTAAATTATTTTTTGCAATATATTCCATTTCAGCGCTCTACCTTCGTAATTAAGAGACGCGTGATCAGCTTGAGTCTGCAACAAGATAGTCTGGAATCGTATAGCCACGTATGCATGACAACTTGTATTAATATTGCAGACACTGTCTGAACGCTTTAAGAGCCCTCACAGGAACAACATTCGGACAGAACAAAGTAACTCTCATACTTGTATAAAAATGATACATACGCTCAGTCCTGGACTATGCCAGTCCAACCATGTTATAGCAGTAATGTCCATTAGGCTCAACAACCACCTATAAACCATCCAAAAAGCCCCTCACTAGAAACGCACTTGATACCACAGACTCACGTCACATCATGTCCATTCTGAAACCAAAGTCCTCCAAAGATCCTTCGATCTGAGAACTACCCTCCTGCCCCTTTCTTTTTTAACCCCTCAGCCCCCGCCATTATTTTCAGAACCTGCTACGAACACCCTGACAAATTGTCAACAAGCCGTACTAACATATACCTCACACAATAGTACTCTATACCCTATCCACTCTCCCAGCTTATTTCATTAACATATACATACACACAACCAGAAACGTCCTCACTAATCTATACCCATAAACAAAGTACTGGATCCTCCCTCTAACATCAGCCGCACAGAGGAGCAGTTGAACTAAACAGACAGGGTAGACCTTGCCGGACTCCGCTGCGGCCACCATCCCTGACTGTACAAACCACCACCAAAGCAGCACCCACTCAGACATGTGCCGCTACAGCCAAGCAGTCTTCCACGCCATTGGACATCTCCTGCTCGAGTGCCAATTAAGAGCTGTCGGCTCAAAGGCTACAGGGCGGCATAATGGCAGTAACATAAGTATGGTCAGGACCGACTGCCGGTGGCATTTCTTTGCGAAGCGGGCTTCCTGGCTTCATCAGGACCCGAGGAATAACAAATTATAAACAATCGAAATAAAGACTTCGCGCGATTAGAGGTATGTTAATTCGCTCATACTATAGCATACAGTTTAAGTAGCCAACTACTGTCGATCATAGTTACAACGAAGCATCATGTTGAGCTTACCAGTGGGCTATATGTTGAACTTATCGTATGAACACTTATTGTTGAAGACTTGAGCTCACGAAGTAAGGTATGCAAGAACATGACATTCGTGCCGGACTTGCGCTTGTGACTCGCTTGTTTACATCTAAAGCCAACATTATGCGTCTACGGCGATACCAAAAACTGTAACATTGCCATGGGGATTGGCAGATAGATTAATGGCATGGTAATTTCTGAGCATCCATCCCCACGACTTCACGACGCGCAGGAACTCGAATGTCAGGAGCAAGTTGATACGAAAATATGAACTGTCCCGAGATTCAGGGGTCTACCGTCCCGACCTTTACGAACAAGCTGCCCTGACATTCGAGGACAAGTTGACCCGATGAGCACATATAAGGCAACGTGGATGTATGTCTGGGGTATCGATTGCGGCTCTGAAGTTGGAACCTAATACGCGATACATCGCGTAAGCAATGATCATGTAAACATGAATCAATAATGAACATGAAGTTAATAATGATACGAAGGAACATGCTATGTATATAGAGCAGGGAGAGGGCACTACGCAGGTATTAAACAAGCGAGAATGGCATCTAAGGAATATGTCAAGCCACTACAGGGACATGTTGTAGGAAGCAAACATGCGTGCAGGGGGCAAGGTGTGGGGGGAGAGGGGGAGACGTCACGGTACCGTCGTGCTGGTCGTGGGGTTCAGCCGTGCCTCCTGAACTGCCGTGTGCTGACGACGCCTTCTCCAGCGCCCGCCCGATCAGGTCTGCAGCACGACGCAATACCGTGCCGTGGAGAGCGTTATGTTACCGTGACGTGGAGAGCGTTATGTGTTACCGTGACGTGGAGAGCGTTATGTGTTACCGTGACGTGGAGAGCGTTATGTGTTACCGTGACGTGGAGAGCGTTGTGTTACCGTGACGTGGAGAGCGTTATGTGTTACCGTGACGTGGTGTGTTATGGACCGTTGCAGTGACGAAGAAAATTATTGTCGTTGGGATACGTACTTCAATTTCGAGAATATTTACGATTTAATAACATTCTTATATTATATCAAATGTCGAGGTGTTGGATGACGCAAAATCTCATCAGCGAAGTTGCAAGATGACGAAGGAGCGAGGAGATGCCGAGGCCGTGTGACGATGCAGGGCAAGAAGACGATGAGCATATGGAGGGAGTCAAACAAGAGCAAATATAGCGGCTGCGGGCATGGACAATGCCATGCGAACAATTCTCTGACAAATCATTGTAATTTGCATCCACAATACACAGCAAGAATGTATGGAGCAAAGAACAAGTGGATTAATGGGCAGCGACTGATGTAATATTTGCATGCGCACATGACAATCGCGTCTTGATCAATCAGAGTTATAAGGAACAGGCAATAGAAATTTTTTCGCAACCGATTCATTTGTGAACACGTTTGCCTACTCACGTTAACTCCTTGTTACCGTTCTTTAAGATGATAATACTATTGACGGCGCTTGAAATATCCGTAGACAAAGGGTTAACAGAGAATGTAAAATAATGATTGAAATGCATATACGATGCATATTTGCTGGCATCCGCCAAGAAAGCATACTGAAAAGTTCATACATGTCATTTATGCAATCGTGCGGAGTTCAAGTCATGGTTGTGCCGTAGAAATAGCATTATTGAGAGCGGACATCAATTCAACACATCGTAAACATGGTGCGATTTATATGAATACAACTCAAATAAATGTATTCATAAATTGGATGCACTTTGTAAAATTAAGCATTTTTGAATTTTTTTATTTCACCTGCGACTAATGTTAGGCTTCCATAATAGAGATGACACAAAATTTTCCTGCACAATACTATACTTTCATAAAATAATCCATGCGTATCAATTTCTTTGAGTCGTACTGTTCAGTAACTTGATAAGCAAATGAAATACTGCATCAAACTGTGAAGAATTAGCAGGCAAAATAATCGCGAGTCTAATGATAATCTCGCAAGCACAGGGAACGCTACGTGTTAATCTACAGTTCTACACTAAGTAAAATAATGCACAACGTACGAATGCGTCTTCATAGAAACCGCAACAAATAGTAGTAAAACTAAGACAAATAAAGCTGGCAAAATCACTGGGAAAACGTAACTAGGAAGCAAAAATACCATATGTTTCTTGATATTTCGATAAGTGTGTTATCGAACTATTTATCATCAGTAAACTGGCATCTGATATCAAAGCTCTTTATAAAAACGAGGTAGTGCTATATAAAAACGAAAAGCGCTATACGGAGACATGCGGTACAATGAGCACGGCGTAAGGCCAAAATAAAAATAGTTTAATTAAAACTACAACTACGAGAAAATTCCTCAAGATCATCAAGCGCAGAAAAAATCGCGTTTGACTTGCATTTGGAACTATCACAGCATAAAATTTAGCCAAGTTGAGTGCATGCATCACAAAATTCTCAAATGCAAATGCCCGTACATATTCTTGTGCCTGTGAGTGCAACTTTTGGAATACTTAATTTCCAATTAAGAACTCAAATGAATAGAAAGTCGAGCGGCTGATGCGAGTCAGTTCTCAAAACACGGCAAAAATGTTGTTAATGCTCGCGTGCTTTAAGCAACCAAACATTAAAATTGCACGAACAATGTTAAAATATTAAAAAAACTGTCTTGCTGATAAATATTGTCATTATTTGGTCATACCATTCAATAATTCACTAATGATTTACCATAATATAAAAGTATTAAACAGGATTTTCAAAATTATGGAACCAATTTAATAAATTCTCATTCATTCAAGTATCAATAAAAAATGTATAATATATACACCAATGGAAAGAGAAGATTCATTTTTTTCAAACTATTCAACTTTTTTTTAACCTAACTATATTTGAATCTTTTTGGATCAGTCACTCTACACTTCTGGCCACCGAGATCACCTGATCTCGCCCCATGTGACTATTTCTTGTGGGGTTACGTCAAGGAAGCTGTTTACGTCCCGCCTCTACCAGCAACTCTGTTTACGTCCCGCCTCTAGTCCCGCCTCTACCAGCAACTCTGTTTACGTCCTGCCTCTACCAGTAACTTTGTTTACGTCCCGCCTCTACCAGCAACTCTGTTTACGTCCCGCCTTTACCATCAACTCTGTTTACGTCCCGCCTCTACCAGCAACTCTGTTTACGTCCCGCCTCTACCAGCAACTCTGTTTACCTCAAAAGGGGGACATATTGAATAGGTATTTATATATTTAAAAAAATGAATCTTTCTTTTCCCATTGGTGTATAAATTATTCATTAAGAATTCATACTTAAATAAATATACATTTATTTTATTGAGTCCATCATACAGAATAACCCTGTACAGCAACAACAAATAAACTGTACTAGAAAATACTGTAAAAAGCGCAGGGTAAGCTCATTGTACTGCGAAGCAAAAAAACTGCAATCTGCGAATGAGTAGAAGAAAGCAGAACGAAATGCAATCGAAAAAAGCAGAACGAAATGCAATCGAATAAAGTAACACAAAATGCGAAACGATGCACCCAACTCGTGCTATGTATAAATAAGCCTTGCCAAACCTTCACTACAGACAACAGTCTCGATTCCATCATTCCGAGAAATACTTGATAAGATGAAATAAAACTGATTTGCGGGGAGACAAATTTGTAATTTTGATTAGGTAATATTTATGACACTCACACACTTTAGCTTATTAGGAATAATAAGAACAAATCTAAAATAATATGGACAAAACTATGTTGAACCAAAATGATTTCAGTGATAAAATTTCATAACGCGGGTGATAACTCGCTAAATTTCGCGGCATGATCGCTACTGTCGTCTGTGTGTGTGACTCATGATACATGCAAGCATAAAGCAAACAATACGTCCATAAGCAACATCGTGCGTGCAGCACCAAAGAATATCTTACCGTGCTTGTCCTTATCCTTCATTTTCTTCTCCATCTCGCCGGCCTTATCTTTGACCTTACCAAAGAACTCTGCAGGCCGCGGGGGAAAACATTACAGCCTCATTAATATTAATTAATATTAATATTTGCATCTCAGGTTTCCAACTGAACAGGTCGCTTTTACTGGTTTAATAAGAGGCTTTTTTATTATATGCTAATGAGAACGTCGTAAGCTGCCAGGTATATGGGCCACAGTAGCACGTTGATTTACAGACTCAGTATATATAATACAACAAATATTTAAGTCCCACACAAATAGAATTTACGGGCTTCTTAAAGCGGGTACCTATTCAGAGACTCATTCATATAAATAATCACAAGTCAACACGCGAATCAAAGTTATAGTAACAAATTAACAGGCATTAAATAAAGCGAAAACCGGCAGAACATTTCAATAAAATTGAAAGGTTCTGCCAATATTCAATAGTAATCATAAAGCGGCGAATAGCATATGATATTTTAGAAGCCATGTGAGATATTTGTTCATAATAGTAGGAGTAAATGATATATATTATTTGAAATGACATGCATGAGTAATAGACAGATAACACTAACATATATATTGAAGATAAGATTATAAACAACGAGATGTTTTCTGGTCGCACTGACGCACTCACAGAGACATAACAAAAATTGGACGCATAAAAACATGATCACGCAAGCGTTCACAATGCTGAATGCTGATACCACACATAATTGGTTATAACTATATTAAGAGATTTACAATGAATGAAGCATAAGTATTATGTGTTCAAGACTGCAATAAAGTAATAGCGAGTCTCAGCTCCTTCTCGGAGGAGGGAGAGCTAAACACAAAAATGTCGGTCGCGTGTCCGTGAGCACTCGTAGAGTGATGATGCTAGTGTGTCGAAAACAGGCGCTCCCTGTTTCCGCACTAAAAATACACTTTAAAAAATGAATGGATAATATCGTCCAAATTGTGACACACTTTCTTCACTGATACGCAATTATGTTCTGCCAAACTGGGTCAGGATGACGCACACGAAGGAGAAAGCGTTAGTTAGAAAAAAGTCTCGCTTACGTCCCTGAGTGCAATGAGCTACGGTGAACTTCATACACGGCTTGCTGACAGCGCACTGTGCAGTTCATATTATTGTTAATGCTGAACCTTTAACCGCCACGCTGTATGCTGACCTTTACTAGGATTATTTTTACTAAATAACTCCCTCTCCTTGTTAACTGATCCAAGCTAAGGGATATTAAAAGCGTCCTCATCAAAGGATATAACTCTGAAATAATCACTTTTAAAAATAAATAACTCTGAAATGTTCAGAATAAATTACTATAAAATAACTTTGGTTCAAGTTATACGCCCCAACGGGCAGCGACACACCAACCATAATGAACAATTAGTAAGTAAAAGGGGAGCGAGAGATGTGAAGAACAATTGAAGTAAATGGAGTGTAGATTCGGAATATAAGTGTTGTTAATACCAGGTACTTCAGTAGCGCACATTTAGAAACCAATGTAAACTATTAGATCGCATTGGCAACTTTCGAGCTGCCAGTTTTCAGCATTAGGCCCGTCACATCGACCGACGAAAATAAATTTTTTCTTTGTCCGTAATTCCCTGACTATGAAAAGAAGCTAATAAAATATGATGATAATTACGAAATTATTTACCGGTTCTACTGATTTCGTGAATAAATGTTACAATCGATCAGCACGCGATGCAGAATATTGAACTCAATTGAACATTCTCATGAGAAATTACGTACTCTTCGCATGGTCAGTGGTTGGGCTAACTTATTGGCAAATAATTGGACTAAGAATTGTCAGACGAGGATTTTCTCAACAAGATAAGCAAACTTCAAAGAAAAATACCGATTTGAAGAATAACTAATCGTTCAATTAGTAATTGGGGTAGTACCTAGAGTGAGGATTAAAAGAAGAATAAGATACGTTGGCCATACCTGCAATTTTTTCGCCAGCCTAAGGAGATATGGAGTGGATTACGCACCATCATCTCTTATTAATTAATTCGAGGGTATTGCCTGTAATGAGAACTAACAATTAACTCGAGGGTATTGCCTATAATGAGAATTAAAGGAATAAAAAGAGACGTGGCTCCATACCTGCAATTTTCTTAGCAGCCTCAGGAGAGGCGGGGTGAGTGAGCAGGTTGATGCGCTGGTAGTGACTAGTGCTAGTGAGCTCAGCGGCCTCTAGTGACCCTGGTGTCATGGCCGCGTACTCGTCAGCCAGTAGCTGCACTGTAAACCACCCGCAATATTATTACTTGTAGCTCTTATATAGAACTCTTATTAATAGTAATTGTATTAGCTGCTACCCATTATTACTCGTAGCTCTTATATAGAATATTATTAATGGTAATAGTATTAGCTGCTACCTATTATTACTCTTAGCTCTAATATAGAACACTTAACAATAGTAATAGTATTAGCTGCTACCACTTTATTTCACACAGATAGTATTGGAAAATGTAACTTTAATGGCATGGTTGGCTGCCTATGGACCGTCAAGGTTTGAATGTAACCTTGATTACTACAAAAAATGACTGCATCAACATGCGTTTAACATGTTACTTAAACCTAATTTAATGTCAGCAAAACTACCACTCATCATCGCTAATTAGGAGGATACAGATACGAAGGAGTTAAGAGGGCGGTAGGAGGATACAGATACGAAGGAGNCAGCACTCACCGAGCAGGTGCTGGGTGTGGTCATCAGCTGCAGCACTCACCGAGCAGGTGCTGGGTGTGGTCATCAGCTGCAGCACTCACCGAGCAGGTGCTGGGTGTGGTCATCAGCTGCAGCACTCACCGAGCAGGTGCTGGGTGTGGTCATCAGCTGCAGCACTCACCGAGCAGGTGCTGGGTGTGGTCATCAGCTGCAGCACTCACCGAGCAGGTGCTGGGTGTGGTCATCAGCTGCAGCACTCACCGAGCAGGTGCTGGGTGTGGTCATCAGCTGCAGCACTCACCGAGCAGGTGCTGGGTGTGGTCATCAGCTGCAGCACTCACCGAGCAGGTGCTGGGTGTGGTCATCAGCTGCAGCACTCACCGAGCAGGTGCTGGGTGTGGTCATCAGCTGCAGCACTCACCGAGCAGGTGCTGGGTGTGGTCATCAGCTGCAGCACTCACCGAGCAGGTGCTGGGTGTGGTCATCAGCTGCAGCACTCACCGAGCAGGTGCTGGGTGTGGTCATCAGCTGCAGCACTCACCGAGCAGGTGCTGGGTGTGGTCATCAGCTGCAGCACTCACCGAGCAGGTGCTGGGTGTGGTCATCAGCTGCAGCACTCACCGAGCAGGTGCTGGGTGTGGTCATCAGCTGCAGCACTCACCGAGCAGGTGCTGGGTGTGGTCATCAGCTGCAGCACTCACCGAGCAGGTGCTGGGTGTGGTCATCAGCTGCAGCACTCACCGAGCAGGTGCTGGGTGTGGTCATCAGCTGCAGCACTCACCGAGCAGGTGCTGGGTGTGGTCATCAGCTGCAGCACTCACCGAGCAGGTGCTGGGTGTGGTCATCAGCTGCAGCACTCACCGAGCAGGTGCTGGGTGTGGTCATCAGCTGCAGCACTCACCGAGCAGGTGCTGGGTGTGGTCATCAGCTGCAGCACTCACCGAGCAGGTGCTGGGTGTGGTCATCAGCTGCAGCACTCACCGAGCAGGTGCTGGGTGTGGTCATCAGCTGCAGCACTCACCGAGCAGGTGCTGGGTGTGGTCATCAGCTGCAGCACTCACCGAGCAGGTGCTGGGTGTGGTCATCAGCTGCAGCACTCACCGAGCAGGTGCTGGGTGTGGTCATCAGCTGCAGCACTCACCGAGCAGGTGCTGGGTGTGGTCATCAGCTGCAGCACTCACCGAGCAGGTGCTGGGTGTGGTCATCAGCTGCAGCACTCACCGAGCAGGTGCTGGGTGTGGTCATCAGCTGCAGCACTCACCGAGCAGGTGCTGGGTGTGGTCATCAGCTGCAGCACTCACCGAGCAGGTGCTGGGTGTGGTCATCAGCTGCAGCACTCACCGAGCAGGTGCTGGGTGTGGTCATCAGCTGCAGCACTCACCGAGCAGGTGCTGGGTGTGGTCATCAGCTGCAGCACTCACCGAGCAGGTGCTGGGTGTGGTCATCAGCTGCAGCACTCACCGAGCAGGTGCTGGGTGTGGTCATCAGCTGCAGCACAGGTCCCGCTTGCACCACGAAGCGCGTCAGCTGAGCGCCTGTCGTCAAGTCCCAGATGATGACAGCGAAGTCAGCACCACCTGACACCAGCTGGTTGGCTGGGTACCTGGGTGTTGGTACTGCACCTGCACCTGCTGGTCCTGCACCTGCTGCAGGTGCCCCGCCAGCGTCGCCGTGGGGGTACAGGAGGCACGTCACGCGTCGGGTGTGGCCGCGGAGAATCATGCTTTGCGGCACCGCTGCACACAACACTCGTTCTTATTATCATTATTTTATTTAATAATACCAATGATTTTCATGGTAATAAGTCATTTTTATTATGATTGATATAATGAAATAGATAGTCATAGAATTATGATACAAGAAATCTATAATCATGCTGCTCATGCAACACATCAGTTGACTCTCACATCAGTCGACTCTCACATCAGTTGACTCTCACGTCAGTTGACTCTCACATCAGTTGACTATCACATCAGTTGACTCTCACATCAGTCGACTCTCACGTCAGTACTGAGAGTGTAGTCATGACTCTCACATCAGTTGACTCTCACATCAGTTGACTCTCACATCAGTTGACTCTCACATCAGTTGACTCTCACATCAGCTGACTCTCACATCAGTTGACTCTCATATCAGTTGACGCTCACATCAGTTGACTCTCACATCAGCTGACTCTCACATCAGTTGACTCTCATATCACTTGACGCTCACATCAGTTGACGCTAACTGACCGTGCTGCGACTGCTCAGTATGCAGCAGGTGCAGCATGATAGCCTCAGTGGCAGGCAGGAGCAGGATGCTGCCATCCTCCCTGCCACACGCCACACGCCCTTGTGTGCCCAGGAACAGTGTGGCGCACACGCGCTGTCCTTCTGCCACACTGTCGCCACCCCCGCCACACAGGCCCTCCACAGGCGCCACGTGGTCCAGCAACCCTGTGGCATAAGTATTAGTATAAAAAATTTTTAGGTAATTTAACTGATACCGTACTTGCGGTACAATATGGCGCAACACAACAAGAAGGCGAATAGTTATCGTCCTTACCGATGAAGCAAGCGCCATTATAGCCCTCAACTACTGCTGCGATATGTGGCCCGCTTCAGGCTCAGTTAAACACGATCTTGGGAATAGACATGAACCCCGTCTATAAAATATGCATAAACTCTATTCAGAAAAGTGGCCATCCACAGCCTGGGTCGTAAAAACGGTCATAAAACCGTTCAAGAAAATGGATATTAACATTCATGAAAATGAATATTTTCATGAAAATACCGGGTCGTTCATAGAAATGAATATTTCGTGAGTCACACAGTAGCCACTGAGCGCTGGATGCATCTCAAGCAACCCACCGACAGGCGGTGGGTCGATCTTGGCCCACTCGTCCTTGAGGGAGGTGTGCACGGTGATCTTGGTGGTGGCGGGCTGGACGGGTGTGGCGGCGAGGAGTTTTTGTAGTTCCTGTGGCTGAAAGTCACGGATACGCCACAACACCACGCCACCTTCACAGTCGCCACGCACCAGCAGCTTCTCTGCGCCGCTCTGCACCGGCACCATCAGGTACTGCCAACACGGCGGCACCAGCAGCGTCTGGGTACAATGATATATCATTAGTGGGGCGCCATGGTTGGTCTTAGTGACGGTCCAGTGGTACCTACCTTAAGAGTCAATAATAGGATATAATTTAAGAGGCACTTATGTAGGAGCTGTATATGTTGACCCAAACGAAGGTGAAACGAAAGTAATTGTGACGTGGTCCTAAGGTATGCCAAGGCCATCATTAAAGTTAATCATTTTGGTATTTCACTATAAGTGTATAACACCGTAGAGGGAAGATATTTCCTGTACACTGGAGTACGATTCCTGGGCGTTTAGGACACTAGTACATGCATTAGTTGTCCTCACAGCTACGAGGCCAAATAACGATATGTGTGCATGCAGTTAATAGCTTAACAACAATATTGCCGCAACTCATTGAACTCTAGTGAGAGATAAGAGCCCCTGAGTCTAATACTAACGTTGGTGGTGGGAGGTTTACACACGCCGATCAGGATAGGAGAGGAGTCGTCGGACTGCTTGCGGTGAAACTCCTTTGTGCCCACGACGCAACTGCAGACACAGCTAGCGTTACTCTCAATTATCAATAATAATTTTTTAATTAAATAATGCTGAAAAAACCTTAATATACCTAATAAATAATTAATAATGACTGCGCAGGAGCCCTGAAACTATTATTAAAGGACTCAGCGAGCGATCATAACTCGACGCTTGATTCAAACCAAATTTAAACAGCGGCTTCAATAGTGTTTGAAGAGATCAGATATATGGAGTTGAGTAGTACTAAATATTTAATTGGAAGTCATATCCCACAATTCTTGCTTAATAAATCGAGGCTTGAATTTTTGTAAATTTTCTACTAAACTTGCACAGCAAAAGTTCCGATGAAAATTTACTAGGTTTTCGAACACAAATGACGGAAATTAAATTCAAAGAACCCATTTAGCAGGAAAACTTACTATCTAATTATCAAAAAAAGTCTGGACTAGAGGAGAGCGTGAATGCGCTAGTTTTCAAGAGGTCGAGGTAATAATTATTGATTTCGGTGGGATCAATAATTGTTGATCAAGGTAGGAGAGGAAGGGGAGAAGCTGACAAATTCGTAGCTTGCTTCTGCCACTAATTGAAAAGAATTAACGCAGTTCCTTCACGTGGATGATGATTTGCTGGCATTCACCACTGTTACTGATCCTTGTTGAGTGCAGGAAATACAGGGTATACACTGAAGCATGCGTTGAGAAATACATAGAGCGTGTGTGCAACATGAATTAAGGACTATACAGTGGGAGTAACAGGAACACAGGACTACAACAACACAGATCTACTATTAATTGCTTCTAGATATTTCCTAAATATATCAGAAATCAAACAAAGTAGCACGACATGTTTGTGGAGAAAAATCCGTTTTATATGCTAGATCTCTTTTTGTAAGCGAAAGCGGTCATTGTAAATGCTGTGCAGATTTATTTAAAACTGACATTTATAAACACAAACTACATACATACTCGAATGTATGTTGACAGCAACAAACGAACAACGAAAGAGATCAACTAATATTGTATTCGTCTAAATGGCTACACGCAAATGATCAATGAATATGGATATTGGATTAGCTCAAGCAATGAATAAAATAGCGACGGAAGTGATGGCAGAACAAGCGAACGGAATCGAAAGAATGTTGATGAAATTATGTACTACTAAGAAACATAATGAAGGGATCGAATCGTACCAGGCATATGAAAGTTTCAGATATAGGTACACATATAATGTTTCAAGGACAGCAGTACGAAAATCGGCTAGTAGACGATTTTTCTAAAGAATAATCTGACGATGGTGAGGAAATATAAGAGGAGGAATCACAAGCCATAAGCTAGCATGAAAAGTGAGGGACAGCGCACGAGGGTTATACAGAGGGAAGCTGAGGGATAATACAGTAGGGCAGTACATAGGGATGTATAGAGGGGAGTACAGATGGCGGTACACAGGGCAGCAGGCACGGTACCCACAGTTTACTGACCTAGCGCCTCGCCTCGAGCCCTCGCTTCTCCTTCAGGAGGACAGTGAGAGAACGTTCAGGTGATTAGCGGTGAGTGGTCGGGTGATTAGCGATGAGTGGTCGGGTGATTAGCGGTGAGTGGTCAGGTGATTAGCGGTTTGTTAGGTGCGGTGCAGTGGACGATTGTTAGGTGTGGTACAGTGGACGATTGTTAGGTGCGTTACAGTGGACGGTTGTTAGGTGCGGTGCAGTGGACGATTGTTAGGTGCGTTACAGTGGACGGTTGTATAGATGAAGTCTGCTATGTCTCGTTTTGTACCACGTATTTCATTTTAAACGTCATGGGCAATAACTTAATGTACATTACATATTGTGCAAGATACCTGGTATAGTGGATACCGGAGCATTGAAATATTGTACAGTGCAGTGAACAAAAAGGCGTAGGCAGTACGTACGTTCATTCAATGATACACCAAAATGCAGTGAACAACTGTACTGTGCAGTGAAAATGAAAACCTGGTCATAAAATATAGCAGTGCACTAAATGATGAGCCGTGACAACAAGTACAGTGCGCTGCTCGGTAGTGCATGTCACCACACAGATTTAAAGTGCAATTCAGTGCAGAACTGTTCAATGCGAAGAGCAGATCAAGACCACCACTGTTCAGCAGTGCAGAAGCTACCGTACGGTGCAGGGAAGCAACCTAGTTTACTACACGACGCTGATTTCAAACAATGCACCAGTAAATTGATACAGAAAATAACAGAATGGTAGCTGAAGCGATCGTGATAGACGGTGGAAACTATTCTTCGAAAGAACTTCACGTTAAGTTCTTCACAAAAGTTCAGGTAGCGCACTGCTTTTATCATCCCCTGCATTTAATCTCATACCCTATGTCAGCGTGCGGACTAGAAGCGTCACTGTTTTGGTTGGGTTAGGATTGTGACAACAGTTCTGTGATGCAGCCAGGCCTCTACGGCGTAGTCACTACAACTTTGCGTCATGATGCTGCTTTGACTTCGTGATACGAGAGGAACATTTTTTATCATTCTCAGCCGCAATACTCCTGTCTGATACTGTTTACTCTTCCCAGCTGCAATACTTCTCTTGCTGCTTACTCTTCCCAGCCGCACTACCCCTCTCACTGCCTACTATAGGCACTACACTACCACCCGTAAACAAGAGCAACAGGGGCAGCCCTACCAACAGAGGCAAGGGCAGCCCTACCAACAGAGGCAAGGGCGGCCCCACCAGCAGCGGCAGGAGGTGGCGCAGGTCTCACTTGTTAGGCAGCTTGTAGACATAGCCGCGTCCTGTCTCGCCCCACACCACGACCGCCTCGTTGCTCAGGAAGCTGCCGCCGCTGTACGCCGTCTCGCCGTCCCGCGTGCCGCACTCCGCCAGCTGCGAGAAGTCGCCCGCGTCGTACACCTAAACATCAAACGTGTACATGCTCAATTGTTCTACATTGCAAATGCTTTATGTTCTGAATAACATTTATGCAATTTATTGCCGTGTACTTATACACTAAACGTAAGGTAGGATTTGTTTCCATACACTAGCCAGACGTGCACAATAATAAGTGTGGAATTTGGTAGGTAAACATGGCGTGTGAGGATCTTTAAAAATGTATCTGTGCACAACTAATCTGTAGCAAAGTAAGTTTCAAAGTCTACGAAAAAATATGCCTGGCAAAACTAACTATGTGTAATCAAAAAAAGTATGAATAAATTTGTTAAACATACACACAACATTGAACCAAGGGAGACAAAATAAGGGAAAACGAATGTAAGATGCGCGGAAGAGGCAGCAAGATGGGAGGTAGGAAGAGGCAGCAAGATGGCAGGAAGAGGCAGCAAGATGGGAAGAAGAGGCAGCAAGAAGGGAGGAGGAGGCAGCAAGATGGGAGTCATAAGATATTAAATGGTAAGAGCTGCCATGCCTGCCAGCTCTTAGGCGTGACAATAAGGACGGTGCGCTGGTTGAAGGCGCAGCAGACGAGGCACTTGGCGTTGGTGGCGCGCAGCTTCTTGCTCTCATGTTCTTTGATGGCCTCGCCGCGCCCCACGTCCTTGTCACTCACCGTCCACACCTTGACCCATCCACCCTGGGTCACCCCCAGCACCACCTCGTCTGCACACCAGGGGACGTACACTACAAAAAATGCATGGTTATTATTATCCAAATAGCGACACATTTTCATGCCCTCAGCACAAGCTGATAGCGGACGTACCTAGCACTAATATGACATTGCCTGGCTAAGCTTGGTTAGAATGACCTACACTGAGAGAACAAGTGCTTCACTATCTGGGTGAAGTGTCACCCTTTTTCTCAATGCACTAGCTTATTAAAAGAAGTTACAAGCTCATTAGACACCAGAAGAGCAATGCATTATTTAATTTTTATGTTATAGTGCAGAAAAATGTTATAAAATTAATTTGTAATTGAAATGCAAAATTATATTTTACCATTGCGTTTGGACGGCCTAAGGACGTGGATGGACGCAATCCAGTCAGGGTTGAGGCGACTACACAGAGTGCAGAGCAGCTGCAAGGACGCTGGGTCGTAGATGTGAATCTCAGGATAATTGCCAATGCAGAACAACCGGTACTCCTTTGAGCCGAGCATCTGATATGTCTGTAAAGAAACATATTATTCAGTTTTTTATTATTTATTTATTTCAGCATCTGATGCACTTGGATTTAAAATAACTTCAGTGATCATACATAGATAATGAGAGTGTGCACTGTAAGTAAAATATTGACACAGAACTGCTGATGCTCACAGAACAGTAAGATTTTCCTCTCACAACACATGGCCCAACTCTGAGAACAAAATCTGGTACAACAGAATTAAATTTTTAATGGAATTCATTAGGAAACCTTCAAGTCCAAAAATTAGCAATTATGCAAATTTGAACACTAGATACTATAATATAAATATTATTATTGAACACAATGCAAAGTATACCTACATACCCACTAACTGTTTTTTTTAATAAGTTACAGAAGAAACAAATATTTCTAAATCCATTCATTTAATTGGTTGCCATGTGTGTTGCAATGCAGATATTTGACAGCAATACCATCATTCAACTTTTGTTTATGAATTAATTTGATTTGTAATTTGGGTTTTCTCATCACTTCAGAACACTCAAGATTATTTCCTTTAAAATGCATTTTATTATGTTCTCAAAATACTGATACATTAAAATAAGGCAAGAGCCAACTCACTGTGATGTTAGAATGAATGTAATGAGAAGTGACAACTTCTAAGCAACGCCCGTCTCTGAGGTCCCAGACGCAAAACTCTCTGTGAACAGGCAAATAAAATTACCAGCTTAATTCATCCATAACAGCAATTAGTCTCATTGCTACTAAGTAATTATAATGATCACTGTTTTCACAGGCACAGATTCAATATTATGAGTAGATTTTCCGTAAAATATCTCCATCTTTAATCTTTATATATACCTATACCAGGTAGTACGGTATACAATGAAAATTATTTTCTTGAATAATAGGCATGACACTTTTAGGCTTTTATCAGAATCCAAAATAACTTGCAAGGTGGTAAAATATTTTAATATGTAGGCCCTTATTAAGCTTTATTCTAAATCCAAGGTAAATTGACAAACTAGTATAAATGAATTTTTTTCAAGATGAAGCATACAGAATCTTTAGCTACAATCTATATCAAACAAAAGCATAAGAAAAATTATTTCCTTGAAATAATTTTTAAAACTAAGACATATCACAACTTTATCTTTACAAATTTACGGTAAATTGGACTATTGTCAAAATATTTATTCACAAATAAAATAAAAAATAATCATCTACTAAAACCTTGCCAATGAAAGCATTTCCAGTTGTCTAGAAGGAGGAACAAATAATGTACATAATTAGAACATAACAAGAAGAACAATTAACCCATTTTGGGCAGCGCTGACGATGGTATGCACGGGGCTGCTGCTACTGCTGCTCTCAGCAAGGCATGATATGGCAGACGAATGTCCCACCAGCATCACACGAGGTATCATCTATAGGAACAAAAATATACTAATTAAGGTGTATATGTAGGTAACAGAGTTAAAGATTGCAAAAGCTATCAATGCATTAACATTAAATTTTTAATTCATCCTAATGTGATGTTTAAGGCAAATTCCATGTCTCAAGTCTCCTGTAATTTGCAAAACTCTCACCTTTAATTTAGGGGGATCAAAGTCCCATACACAGATCTGGCCATCCTGTGAAGCCGTCACCAGTGTTTTTACGTCCTTAGTGAGCAGAATGCAGGAGATGTTGTGGGTCGGTGGCTCCCGTCCCCATAGCACCAAAGGGATTGCCAGACTACCCATTGTGCTTGGAGGACTAAAACAAAGTCTGCAAAATATATATAAGTTTTTCTGAACTTTTTATCAATCATCAATTCCAACATTACAGCAGACAGTTAAATTCTATCATCAATATCACAACATATATAATACATAGATGTCAGTAAAAGTATAGGTATATATATTGTATTTTTTTTTGTTCATGTTTTTCTCGTTGAGAAATAAAGAGGTCATTGAATCAGACAAAAATACCCCTGTGCACAGACAATTTCACCAATTCCTACAAACCCTACCTAACTTCTGTTAAAATCAATAAAAATATTTAGCTAATTTTCACCTGCCATTTTTAAAAATTATTCATTACATACTTGATAATTTTCAAACTTGTTGAAATTTCCAAATTTGCTAGGCTGTGAATTTTCAGTTCTTTTTCTCCATGCCTCATTCTTTATAGGAATGAGTTTCTAAATAATGAGGTTGGCAGCAAGACTTGGTTCTACAGTTACATTGGGTGGGTTTATTTGTCGGTATAATGTTGGAGAATCAGTATTGATACCGCTAAAGGCTACTAAGCTTTATTTTCAGAACTTGGGCTTGTTCCTAATTTCTTTAGGTTTCTGTTCCTCCAGCAGGTATATTGGCAAACCAAATTTTTTAAAAATCAGTTAATTACAAATTTCCTCATTTATTCTAGATTTAAACCAATTTCTTATGTATGAATTTTTTTTAAGATTTAATTGAAGGGAAGCAATTGAAAAAGAAATTGAAAGGATATCATCAAGGAACTGAGAGGCAATTAAATAATGAGACTACATCTTCAAAGCTCAAGACCCTTGAAGAAGTTTGTTCACTTCTTATTTCAAGTGCATAATACAATAATGTAGCTATGTCACTAGGTATTGATGGAAATCACAAAGAATAACATCTTCATTATGTACATTCACTCACAAATACATGAAAAACTGCCTATTATTCAATCTACAAATAAAAAACTGATCGCTGATGCAATCAGGATTCAGGAATACCATGCAAATGGAAACAATAACAAAGAAGGTAGTAGAGATATCAATCAATAGGACATCAATATATACTCATGTAAAAAATGAAAGATTCAAATTCTTCTATATTATAAATTTTTCAGTAGCTGACATTCAACAGAATAGTTTAATAACCTTTGTAAATGTTATACATGCATGCAGAATCAATCGTGTTGCATCAGACTCAAATCTAATGATGGTTACTGGTTAGTTCCCAGTACCGTACACGATCAGTGGGTGAGGTAACTACAGTGCATTAACTGCAGATAAAACTCCCAAACTTTGAGACAATAATTGAGTGAATATTTTATGTGATATGAGCCGTCTAAAGTTCTAATAATGTAGAAATCACAAGGTTCACAGAATCTAAAGGTTTGAATGCTAAATTTTTGAGTACTCTAGTCTAGTCATTCAACTGAGTCAAGTGTCATGTTAATTGTGCATCGCCTTTTCTTTGATAAGTTTCTCTGATTGCAATGAGTCTTCCTCAATTTGAAAGCTGACATAATGAATAGGTGCAATTGCAATAAAGGTTTATTTGTGATTAATTTGAAACCATTATGTTAAGAGAAAATAGTGGTATTTCCTTCTGTAGATCCCTTTTGCTCATCTGTGAGTGATGCGCTCAATTAACAATCTTGGGACCTACTCTGTGTTGCCTGACTCAATGTTCATTCCAAAGCCGATTTCTGATGGCCTGCAAACCTGTTTCTAGTTGCCTGCTAAATGCCTGGAACGTTTTTCTTAAGGTGGAACGCTTTTTATAAAGTGAACCACTAATCTAAGAATTTCATCCTGTGTATGATAATGTTGGTATGGTATGTGATATCCATGATACTTCAGTGGTCTGCTTATAGGACTCAAAAGTGAACTTGAGCCTGAGGATGAGTCTAAAAAAAAGTCTCTGATTTGACACTATGCTCTAATTTTTATACATGTCATGGTCATCCCAGGCTGTAAAGTAGGGCCTTTCAGCTCGAGATATCGGCGTCTTTTCAAGCTCTCCATCAGCCACCTCGACCTTAAATCAGCGCCCAATCTGTCCATGACCGATCATAAACTATGGCTCGGGCAGCCATGACCGATCACAAACTATAGATTGCTCAATCAGCCCGCCATTACCGCGCGCATCTCCAGCTTGCTTGTATCTGTTACCCTATCACAATGTGCATACGTCAGGCGCGCCCATGCTACTGCTGAAAAAATTTGTCAATCTATTGTGTTCTAACGCGATCTAATGTGTTCCAACGCGATCTATTGCGTTGTAACGCGATCTATTGCGTTGTAACGCGATCTATTGCGTTGTAGCGCGATCTATTGCGTTGTAACGCGATCTATTGCGTTGTAACGCGATCTATTGCGTTGTAACGCGATCTATTGCGTTGTAACGCGATCTATTGCGTTGTAACGCGATCTATTGCGTTGTAACGCGATCTATTGCGTTGTAACGCGATCTATTGCGTTGTAACGCGATCTATTGCGTTGTAACGCGATCTATTGCGTTGTAACGCGATCTATTGCGTTGTAACGCGATCTATTGCGTTGTAACGCGATCTATTGCGTTGTAACGCGATCTATTGCGTTGTAACGCGATCTATTGCGTTGTAACGCGATCTATTGCGTTGTAACGCGATCTATTGCGTTGTAACGCGATCTATTGCGTTGTAACGCGATCTATTGCGTTGTAACGCGATCTATTGCGTTGTAACGCGATCTATTGCGTTGTAACGCGATCTATTGCGTTGTAACGCGATCTATTGCGTTGTAACGCGATCTATTGCGTTGTAACGCGATCTATTGCGTTGTAACGCGATCTATTGCGTTGTAACGCGATCTATTGCGTTGTAACGCGATCTATTGCGTTGTAACGCGATCTATTGCGTTGTAACGCGATCTATTGCGTTGTAACGCGATCTATTGCGTTGTAACGCGATCTATTGCGTTGTAACGCGATCTATTGCGTTGTAACGCGATCTATTGCGTTGTAACGCGATCTATTGCGTTGTAACGCGATCTATTGCGTTGTAACGCGATCTATTGCGTTGTAACGCGATCTATTGCGTTGTAACGCGATCTATTGCGTTGTAACGCGATCTATTGCGTTGTAACGCGATCTATTGCGTTGTAACGCGATCTATTGCGTTGTAACGCGATCTATTGCGTTGTAACGCGATCTATTGCGTTGTAACGCGATCTATTGCGTTGTAACGCGATCTATTGCGTTGTAACGCGATCTATTGCGTTGTAACGCGATCTATTGCGTTGTAACGCGATCTATTGCGTTGTAACGCGATCTATTGCGTTGTAACGCGATCTATTGCGTTGTAACGCGATCTATTGCGTTGTAACGCGATCTATTGCGTTGTAACGCGATCTATTGCGTTGTAACGCGATCTATTGCGTTGTAACGCGATCTATTGCGTTGTAACGCGATCTATTGCGTTGTAACGCGATCTATTGCGTTGTAACGCGATCTATTGCGTTGTAACGCGATCTATTGCGTTGTAACGCGATCTATTGCGTTGTAACGCGATCTATTGCGTTGTAACGCGATCTATTGCGTTGTAACGCGATCTATTGCGTTGTAACGCGATCTATTGCGTTGTAACGCGATCTATTGCGTTGTAACGCGATCTATTGCGTTGTAACGCGATCTATTGCGTTGTAACGCGATCTATTGCGTTGTAACGCGATCTATTGCGTTGTAACGCGATCTATTGCGTTGTAACGCGATCTATTGCGTTGTAACGCGATCTATTGCGTTGTAACGCGATCTATTGCGTTGTAACGCGATCTATTGCGTTGTAACGCGATCTATTGCGTTGTAACGCGATCTATTGCGTTGTAACGCGATCTATTGCGTNTTGAAATGATTCATCACAAGCTGCTTTGTTATCCATTGTCAGTGCCGTGAGGCTCTCTCAATGCAAGCACTCAAATATATGCACTTAGAACCATCAGAACTGCACGCTACATTGAGTAGTTCTGATGGCTCTGGCCTCTGAGCACGTATGCTTAGGTGCTCAAATATACACTCTCACAACAATCAGAACTGCGCGCTACAGCGCGTAGTTTAGGTGGTTGTGAGCACGTATGCTTGGGTGCTCAAATGTAGCTCTCACAGCAATTGGAACTACGCGCTACGACATGTAGTTATGATCGTAGCATGTGGATCATTGTGGCGCATCGGCCATATCGATCGTAAATCGCGATTTATGGAGAAGCATAATTGGCGACCGGCGTCCAGTGGCATCCACCTCGTACTCTTTGGTGCATGAAATCAGCATCCTCGACCTATGTTGTGCCATGCTTTACAGTCTTGATGGCAACTACCTTTTTATTGTTCAAAGGGACAAACAATTTAAACATCCAAGTTTCCTTTAGATGGTACTTTGGTGAGTTGGTGTACAGACTCTTCAGTCTACACTCTACAGACTGGTTAGAATTCCACTATGAATTCTCTTTTGCTTCATTTATTATGCAGTTTGATGTTGTAAGAGGTGGTGCAAGTGTACCATTGGTCAGTCAATAAAGGAGCATTGATTGGTACAAAATCTCAAAATGCTAGGTTTTTTCAAGTATTATCACTATTATGTTACCTGCCTATAGAATTCCACTAAGTCAGGACAATGATACTATATTGTTCCACTTATATAGGGTAAACACGGTACCATCAACCGGGGTAACTGGGGACTGGCGGGGCAACTCGGGACACACCTCCGACACGGCATAAAACTGTTATAGTAGCGAAACTAATTGGAATATTGCAAAACTAAATATAGTGGCGTAAACAACAACATTTTTCCTATCTATGTAGTATAAAGGCAGTCGAAAAATACAACATTTACTAGCTTTGAAAAATTCCTGAGAAAAATGGTGAAAAACGCCGTTTTGAAAAGTTACTTCTGCTAAGGTCTGTAGCAAAAAAATATTCGCCATATTAAAAAATTTTACTTACATAAAAGTTGCACCCAGGTGTCGGCTTGAAAACGTAATTGGCAGATTTTGCCTA